TTTTTTAAAAGTTTGATTTTAGTGGGCTTTTGAAGTGATTTATGACATCAGGGGGCGGGTTATAGCCTACTTTTTGTTTTCTGATAGTTCATTTGTCACATGCCTGATGAATGGGCTCTGTGTGGCTCTGAAATGTCACCATTGTAACTATGATGTGATCACTGAATAGAGCTTTAGACCCTTTCTGGAGATCCTCTGTGTGCTGGTGACATACTTCTCACTTTGTATTTTATTCATTCACAGATCTCTGTGAATGAATGATATGGCTGTGCATTCGGAGCCCCACAAAACAATGCCAACCTTAAAGTAACAGTGGCTGTGAGGGAAAGGAATAGGAGGCTCTGGAGGTGAGTGGGAATACTTAGCAAAATGTTGCATGTTACACCCTTAATACAGTTAAAAATAGGAGTTTAAAATAAGCCTAATTAGGTACCTTAAAGTGTTTTTAAACCTCAGACATGAAGTATGAACAAAGCATATCCTTCTATAGTGTGTACTTGTCTCAATTGAGAGCACTAAGTGTCATTTCTTTCTGCTGCTTCGTACCTCTGTTATCTACATGAGTCACTTCTGACAGGGCCGTCTTAATAGCATCATGGGCCGCTGGGCAAAGTAATGCACTGGGGTCCCTACCAGCCTGCCTCAATTTCCGCACCTGCTCTCAAGAATTAAAGTATAAATAGTTGATAGAATTAAACATTAAACTTTAGTACTTTCAATAAAACAGATTTTAAACAATAAGAAAACACACCATAAATCAAAGACTAATCAACACAAAGGTTACAGTATGGGGGGGAGGCATAAGGACACAGTACAGGCGGAGTCAGGAGGGCACAATACTGGGATCAGGAGGGCACAGTACGGGTAAAGTTGCACAAACGTTATGGCCTGGGTCATCCCAGGACAGCCTAGTAAAAAGTGTGACAGTCCCAGCACAGTACAGGTTTTGAGACACTGCCTTGGCCATCCCGGGACAGCCTAGTAAAAAGTGTGACAGTCCCAGAAAATCCAGGACATTTGACAGGTATGATGTAATGCAAAATTATCATGGGATCCCCATGCACCTGGAGCCCCTGGGCAGTGCCCAGAGGTGCCCATGCATTAAAACAGCCATGACTTCTGACAAGATTTCCTGACACCAAGAGAAAAAAGGTAACATGGGAGGGACCTCTAGCACACAGCCTATGATTAACAGCCTTAGGTCTTCTCCTGTGTACTGTGTGAAGGGGGCTGTGTCCCTTCCCTCCAATCTGCTCTCAGAATTCTCTTCACTGAGGTCTGAAGTGTGTGATTTCAGCTCTCCACCTCTTTTTTCTGACAGCTCTGACAAGCTTTATACATTCTGGTCTTTGAATTGGTGTAGAGAAGAGAATCCCGCAGATAAACAGGTACAACTTATATAGGAGGATTTGTTTATTCTCTGTGAATCACCTGAGACCAGTCACTTTACAGAATGCATGTTAGGATTTACAACCGTTGTTCATTTTAATTGGTATCAGTATCATGTAATCCCCTGTAGAGAAGCACTCAGAAAAGGAGAGTGTGGGGCATCAGCAGGGACAAATGAGATAAGCTGCATTCAAATATAATGAAAGGAACCCGGTTGACAGGAATAAAAAGCATTGTTCTGATCTCTTCAGCATAGGAAGGTGACCTAGTTGTATTGTGTAACTTCAGTGGATTAAAAATCAAGTTACTAGCCTGTCTGTGCTTGTCATATGACAAGGGACAGAAATGCAATCCCTTTCATAGCTTCTATACTGTGGATATACAATAAATTCAGTTGTTTAACTGATGTTAAGGCTCAAGGGCACCTTCCACACAGAGCGGGTTCTGCAAGAAGTCCACTTTCTCAGTGGGGGACCTGGCTGCTGATCTCTGCTGAGCATATGGATGGCTGGTCCATGTTCGCTCCGCTTATGCAGAGCAGACACAGACATAGTACACTCTCCTTTATAGGCAGTCAGATGTAAGCATCCTGTCATCCTGTAAACAGCCTGCCCATTTACCCCTGACTGCTGCCCATTTACCCCTGACTGCTGTCCGATCCGCTAGACAGAAGGGGAACGGATACCAATCTCTCTGTTTTTAGCAGATCGGAATGGATTGGATGTCGGTGAGTGTAAACGGACACATGTCCATTTACACCAGCCTCTCCATACAGGAGAATGCAGGGTCTGATCAGATGCACCTGAAAAACTGACAGGCAAGCCTGATCAGTCCACTCTAGTAAAAAGGGTCTAAAAGCTATAACTTAAAGAGAAAAAAATAGCCAGAATGAAACAAAACAGAAACAAATCTTGTATATAGTTTTACTAGTTAGGCTCATTGGTTTGGTCTATTTGGTGAATACTTTCAAACTAATGTATTGGATCTATTTAATCAGGAAGAAAAAAAACTGCAGCGATTTAAGCCAATGAAAACAGTTAAATTCAACTTTATCAGTGTAGTACTGCACCAAAACAAATAGATTCTTGAAAAGAAATTGTCACTTTGACACCTTTAACAATGTAAACGCATTTTTTAACATATGCTAAGTTTAATGTTTTAAAAAATTTAGAGGTGTAAGTTGATGGTATTTGTTTTAAAAATAATGATAACCACCTGGTGAAAACTTTAGATACTAAATGCTGTGATCAAAAGCATCAATGGGTGGCTCCTTCTGTCAGTGAGATTCATTTACATACTTCACATGCACATACTATTTTAAATGCTGTTAGATACTTATATATATTTATATGATATCCCAATATATTTGCTTGCCAACAAAGTTTGAACAGTTTTAGCAGGTTTTTAGTATAGGCAAAACACATATTTTTATACACACACTTGTCAGTCTTTTAAAAACTTTTAAAACTGCAAGTTCTAAATATAAGGAGGCACTAAAAGTTGTTATAAAAAAGGGGCCGTCTTCTGCATGATTTTCAGATCCCAAGCTCGCTTTGGTTGATTTACTAAAGGCAAATAGGATGTGCACTGAAAGTGCAGTTGCTCTAGATCTGAGGGGAACATGCAAGGAAAATAAAAAAACAGCATTTTTGCTTGCACATGGCTGGATGAGAGAAATCAGCAGAGCTTTGCCTAATTTCAAAGCTTGCTCTTGGATCTAAAACAACTGCACTTGCAGTGCACAGTATGTTTGCCTTTAGTAAATCAACCCCAATATGGGCAGGGATGTGTGAAAAGTTTCTTTCTTGAAGTATATGTTAAAGCAAACACTAAAAGCTCAAAGAATATTATTATTACAGGTACTTATATAGAGCCATCAATTTAAGCAGGAATTTACATATATAGATTGTACATTCACATCTGTCCCTGCCCTCAAGGAGCTTACATTCTAAGGTCCCCTACCTCATATTCATACATACACATACTAGGGTTAATTTAGATAGGAGCCAAATAAATTACCAGCATTTCTTTGAAGTGTAGGAGGAAACCAGAGTACCCAGATGAAAACCACACAGGCACAGGGAGAACATGCAAACTCCAGGCAGGTAGTGCTGTGGTTGGGATTCAAACCAGTGACCCTAGTGGTTTTGGGCAGAATGGCTATCCACTTAGCCACTGTGAGTGGCCAAATGGGAGACTGAGACATCCATATGTCTCTTTTCCAATTACAAATGTCTTGTATTCTTTAAAAAGATACAAGACCTTTTCTGAATGGAGGAGCTGCACAGTGAGCAACCCGCTGTGATTGCTGTGTTCTATCCCTGACTATCAGTTTTCAATCTGGAACTTCAGTGGTACCATCACCGTCAGAGGCTGCCTATAAGTAGCATTGTGACATTCAAATGCCCTTTGTCTAATCACAGAACATCTTGTATTTCTTGAAAAGAATACAAGATGTTTTCTGAATGAAGGAGCTGTACAGCAAGCATGTGATCCCTGTGCTTCAGCCCCAACTACAAATTTTAAAAAGGTTCACAGTCAAAGACTCTGAAGGTTCACAGGCAAGGGCTGCATGTAAGTAACATTTTCAAGAAAGAAACAACAGCCACATCATTAGATGTATGTTACCTAGCTAGAGCCCCAATAAATGATTTGCCCAGATGTTAGCTTTAGATTAAAGACTTTAGTTCTGCTTTAAAACTTATTATACCAGATCATAAAAGGTTCTTGTGCAGGAACTTCCTTTTCTGGGGTTACAATGTCTTGTTCCTGTCTCCCAACTCCCTGTTTTCCAATGAAGGCCACAAGTGGCTGTTTAAAAATACATTACAGATGCATGGACCACCGTTATCATTATCAGGAAACCCACCCTGTAAAATACCATGCAGCCACCGATGGAGTGCATGTAGACAGAAAATGGCTCCAAAAGGAATTTTAGCAAACTACATGCAAGTCAATAAGGGTTTGCATCAACTTCAAAACATATGGTGGCTGCATTAGTTTTCTTCTTTTCAGGCTTTTTTCCCCTTCATTATCACACAGTAACATATGTCCTGTCCTAGGGTGACAATGCTTGCCCACTGTGCTGTATCTATAGAGGATCAGATTTGTTACCCTAGAATAGGACTGCAGAACCCTTCCCTCATCTTATCCATAGTATAAGAACCAAATAAGATATCGTTTTTTGGATAGATGTATTTTTGTACCTAGCTGTTCTTCCTTTGTGTTAGTAAGTTATGGATTTTGCATAATCATTGTTTTCCCTTTATTCTGTAATTTTGACAATGCTAAAAACCGGGTTGCTTTTTAAAACCAAATGGGTACATTTTATGTAAATGCTTTTTATTCTTTACCACTTCAGTAATTTAATATGTAACAATAAAGTTAATGCAATGTAATAATAAAAGTTAAAGTGTTACTAAACCCAGGACCCTGCATTCACTATATCTGGTCTCCCACAGTACACAGAACATGGAAATGCAATTATTTTAGTAAATATAAACTGTTAAATAGCTTTTCTCATCAGCAGTTAGAGCAGTCTTGTCACTTCAGCTGAGCACTGGTTAAAGCTTGTAGGAGGAGTTTTCTTTCTGTTCTAGGAGGATGTGAAACCTCTGACCCTCTGTCTGGATGGTGCTCATTGGCCCTGTGCTGATCACATGCACCCTCCCAAGAAAAAAAAAAAAAACCTCTCTAGCAATACACACCAAACTAAGCATGTGCATGTGACCACGGGTTCAGTCTGTATCAGGTGGTCATTTCAACAAGAGGAGGCGCAGAGAAGACAGGATCAAACAGCCTTTTTACACAATGCAGAGGATTAACCCCTTAGGTTCCACCGTGTGTATAACAAGCATGCTTTACTGCATTTACAGACTGATTTTACTGTTGTGGGTTTAGTAACACTTTAAGCTTGTGGGTAGGTGCAGTGTGGTGCAGCGGCAGTGATGACATAGGGGTTTATTTACTAAAGCTGGTTCACTCAGAATCTCATGCACTTCTGCATGGAAACCAATCGGCTTACAGGTTTTATTCCTAAAGCTTAATTGAACAAGCTGAGGTTAGAAGCTGATTGGCTATCATGAACAGGTGTACAAGATTTTGAGAAAACCAGCTTTAGTAAATCTCTCCTGTTGCAGATCACTCAGAAACTTGTATTGAAGAGTATGCTCAACTGCAAACAACCCAGGAAAGCACTGCATCAGGTAAAATTCACAGTTCAGTGCAGAGAGGCTAGAGTGCACTAGAGTGTGTATTGAAAATGAACACTGCTTCACTGTATTTATTATACTAAGTGAACATACACTTTGCACTGTGAACAGTCTTTACTCCTTTAATAAATCAACCTCATTGATTGAAGTGTATTGTAAATAATAATATTTGATTAAAAAGGATTTGAACAGCATAATAGGAACATTAATCGGAAAGCAGAAGAAACACTGAGACACTCATTTGAGGGCAAGAAGGTGACTATTAATCTCTGTCACTCATGCTGCCACATACGGCAAGGTCCTCTCGGTTCTCCTTATACCAACCTTTATTATCAGTTTTTATAAGCATCATTTTGCTATAAATGACCACCAAAACTAACAACTGAATGATGAAAATGTTTCCTGTCTTTATACTGCACATAATAATAATGACAAATGTGGGTCATAAAAAGTAGAACTCATCCGTAACGATAAGTTATCGTAACAAGCTACACTCATAAACTTTAATTAGAAATAAAGTCAATTAGTATAATTATTTATCAGTGGTTTTTAACACAACTTAATGTACCACCTGAAAGCCAGATGCTCATTAAGCATCACAATACCTTTAAAAATATGGCATTATCTTCTAGGTTGACCATTAGTGGCTCAGTATACAATTTAAATGCTAAACAGCCTACCATTGTTGTCATTATTCTGGAATTAACCCAAGAGTAAACCAAATGAAATATGCTGTTTGTATAAGCGTCAACACATTCAGCATATTACATTACCATATTATTATACATTTGAACATCTTTTACTAGATTATCCTCAACCAACTGCTTTTGTAGCTGTTGATCAGACCTATGCAGGTCTTTGTCGGCCCTTCACCACAAAAAACTCAACAGTTTAAGTTCATGTAAATTTTGGGGAAGTCTTGCTTATGGTGGGTACATGCTATCAGTTTTTTTTTTTTCAACCAAGTGGTCTGATTGAAAAAAAACTGAAGAGCTTGGGAAGAGCTGAGCTATTGCGTTCTGACAGGGGGATGCCCCCCAGCAAGAATACACTGTTCAATGTTTGCAGCCATTAGCTGCCACCACTGATCAGATACCGACTGGATGCTGGTTTTTTTGGCTGGCTTCTCTCAGATAGGCTGGTGTACACACGGGCTGAATGTCGGCCCTTTTCTGTTGAACCAGCTGATACCAGCAGATATTTGGCCCATGTGTACAGTGTTTAAGATGGCTTGCATCAGATTAGCCATAACAAATTCAAATAATGGACTTCAACACTATGACTGTGGCCATTCTATATTATGTCATGGAAACACAACTGAACAACGCTTTCTGATTGTGGGTTTACATACAAAGTTTGTACTGCTGTCGAGTAGCCAAAGTTTACTGAAATACTCTATAGATGCTAAGTATTGTTATGGTGCTGATCCATCTGTGGAGCACATTTAAGTAGAACTATAGGAAAAACTTATTTTCTTCATTTTGGCTAGAGCAAGGGAGGATTATAACTCCTGTCATATTTTCTTTTTCAAGATCTGTGTCCTATTGCAGAGATTTCCCTTCAGTTCCTGTCCCATAGCTGAACAGGAAATCAGATGAAATCCCTGCAAATTAATGGAATTCCTTGGGAACCTGCAGATCACCAGAACTAGTGTCTCCATTGGAAGATTTCCCCTCTATTACTTTTCTGTGGACAACCCAAAATTTGGTATTTTCTTTTACTTACGCTTTCAATAGTAATGGTAAACAAGACAAATAGAGAGGGTGCATCTCCCTTATGGGGCACAGACAAAAATAAAACCTGACAGGTGTTCTACTCCTTCTGCACTCTTTTAGATATACGTTAAATGTGAATTTTCACTGTTGCTCTTAGCAACAGTCATATTTTAATGTGGCCTTAAAGAATGACAGCTTCAATTTGATTAGTTACAGTTGCCAAAAAGTTATTTTCTGCAGTCTTTAAAAGTTATCTGCTTTGGTCCGTCCTCTTGTCATTTATATTTCAGCAGTGGTACCAATATACACATCAATTTTTCATTCAATCAATCGTTAAAGGGTTACTAAACCCAGGACCCTGTATTCACTATATCTGGTCTCCCACAGTTCACAGAACATGGAAATGCAATTATTTTAGTAAATATAAACTGCTAAATATCTTTTCTCGTCAGCAGATAGAACAGTCTTGTAACTTCTATCAGTGTCCAGCAGAGCACTGGTTAAAGCTTGTAGGAGGAGTTTTTCACTTTGCTCTAGGACAGTGGTGGGCAACCTTTTTTTTCAACTGAGCCAAATCTCGCCAAAACCACGATTGAAATTTATTTTGAGAGCCACATTTTTAAAACTGAAAATACATCCCCCATATAGTAATTCATCCCCCATAGTAATTCATCCCCCATAGTAATTCATCCCCCATATAGTAATTCATCCCCCATAGTAATTCATCCCCCATATAGTAATTCATCCCCCATAGTATTTCATCCCCCATAGTAATTCATCCCCCATATAGTAATTCATCCCCCATAGTAATTAATCCCCCATATAGTAATTCATCCCCCATATAGTAATTCATCCCCCATAGTAATTCATCCCCCATATAATAATTCATCCCCCATAGTAATTAATCCCCCATATAGTAATTCATCCCCCATAGTAATTCATCCCCCATAGTAATTCATCTCCATATAGTAATTCATCCCCCATAGTAATTCATCCCCCATATAGTAATTAATCCCCCATATAGTAATTCATCCCCCATAGTAATTCATCCCCCATAGTAATTCATCTCCATATAGTAATTCATCCCCCATAGTAATTCATCCCACATATAGTAATTCATCCCCCATATAGTAATTCATCCCCCATAGTAATTCATCCCCCATATAGTAATTAATCCCCCATAGTAATTCATCCCCCCTATAGTAATTCATCCCCCATATAGTAATTCATCCCCCATAGTAATTCATCCCCCATATAGTAATTCATCCCCCAGAGTAATTCATCCCCCATATAGTAATTCATCCCCCATATAGTAATTCATCCCCCATAGTAATTCATCCCCCATATAGTAATTCATCCCCCATAGTAATTCATCCCCCATATAGTAATTCATCCCCCCTATAGTAATTCATTCCCCATATTGTGTCAATTCACTTACCTTTGCTCCGCGCGTTCCTCTCGCCGTGTTCCCGCGCCGTTCTGGTCTTCAGGGCGGACTGTGAGAGGAGAGGAGTTCGTCACGCTGCCCCGCCTACATCCTGGCTGCACCGCCTACATCCTGACAGCTGCAGAGTCCTGACTTTTGGGACGGCCGCCCGAGAGGAGGGAGGGGAGCGGGCACCTGGCACACAGAAGAGCCGCATTTAAGTTTGTAAAGAGCCGCATGTGGCTCGCGAGCCGCGGCTTGCCGACCACTGCTCTAGGAGGATGCAAAACCATGACCTCTGTCTGGATAGTGCTGATTGGCCCTGGACTGATCACATGCACTCTCCCAAGAAAAAGAAAAACCTCTCTAGCAATACACATCAAACTCAGTATGTTCAGAGTGTCTCCACGCGATATGTCTTATCAGGAGATAAGAGGGGGGCACTGGAAGAAGGGGAGGATCAGAAAAGTCAGGATCAAACAGTATTTTTTACACAATGCAGAGGATTAACCCCTTAGGTTCCACAGTGAGTATAACAAGCATGCTTTACTGCATTTACAGACTTGTTTTACTGTTTGGGTTTAGTAACACTTTAACTCTGATCATTTAATTGATTTAATGCTTGAAATTATACACAAACGGGATGTCTGATATGGTATAAAATAGTTAGTTTGGCTGCATCAATACAATCTTTCAATACCAAAAGTTTATTGTAAAAAAGAACAAAACTGAAAGTAACTATTTCAGATCAATTCCATCTATCACACAAATTGGATTATCCAACCCATTCAATTGCTTTCCTCATCCTTTCAGTCCTGCAAAATCAGTTGAAAGCACTGAAAGTGCCAAGGAAAAACTACTGATAACTGCTTGATTTGAGCAGAACAAATAAATCCCTGGTGCCCAACCTGTGGCCGAGGGCCGCATGCAGCCTTTTGACACTTATTGTGTAACCACCAGGGCCCCTGTAAAGTACTCTGTGTTTTCCTTACCTAAATGCTTACTAAGGTCAATGAAGGAGAAATATTCTTTAGACTGGATTATAGGAGATAAATGGTTTGATTTAATTATTTTCACACTATTTTATTTTTTTTTGGTGCTGTCCATCCTTTTTCTCTTTTTATTTTTTTTCCTCTTCCTTTTATAATTGATCTTGCTGAGAGAAATATCAAATGTGGCACAAACAATCTTAAGAGGGATAGAGATAGCACAAGCTTGGAATCACTGGGGTTGATTTACTAAAACTGGAGAATGCAAAATCTGGTGCAGCTGTGCATGGTAGCCAATCAGCTTCTAACTTCAGCTTGTTCAATTTAGCTTTGACAAAAAAATCTGGAAGCTGATTGGTTTCTATGCAGAGCTGCACCAATTTATGCGCTCTCCAGTTTTAGTAAATCAACCCAACTGATTTGTAGAGGGCTATAATAACAGTGATCTCTAGAAGTCTTATGTAGCATGTTTCCAGTCTACGACTGTCTCCTGAAGCATATCCTCAGTCTCCAGTAACTCCTATAGCATTCTGCAGTCTCTGGTCACCTCCTGCAGCATGTTTGTGGTTATTCCACCATCTTTTATGCCATTCCCCTGGTCTTTAGCCACCTACTGTTGCTTTTCTACGATCTCTGACAGTTTTACATTTACTGAATATTATATGCAGCTCTTTGGTGATGTCAGCGGCAGCATTTAAAGCCCTCTGTATCAAGAAGGTGGGCCACCATTAACCTAAACAATTTTATCATTGAATGATAGGAATGATATGTGCCTGTCCCACATTAGGGGTGACATTTTTTTACCAGTGATGTTTGGTAATTTTATTAGGTTTGGTTTACTTGTATTCAAAGCTGTTGCATTTGTATCATTTATGTACACAAGCAAACTAAGGCTGCCATGGAAGGAAGAACTGTGCAAAGTAAGGTAACACATAGTAGTATTTTTTATTGTGACCAGAGTAAACTAGCATCTGCTTGGTTGACATGACTTCCTCCATGTTCTATGCACTGCCATTCTAAATAATATATATGCAAACATATTCAAACTACCAATTCTTTAATGCAGTAACTCTAAGCAAACAATCTAAATTCACTCTGCAGAAGTTTGACAAGCATAAGATGGATTTTATTTAGTTAGATCTAAAAGCGGAGTTGCAGCCTTTTTTTCTAACTTTAAATACAATGGTCCCTCTCAGTACATTCTGTTTTGGCAATATATACATCCCCTTCGACGATCCCCGCAGAATGGATCTCCGCAGGATGGATCGGATCTGCAGATTGAGCATAATGGATCGGAGTCCGATCCATTATGCTCAATCCGCAGATCTGATCCATCCTGCGGGGATCGTCGGCTTGCTTTACAACTTACCTTTTTGTGGAGCAGGTCCGGTGTCACCCCGTGCGGTAGGTGTCACCCAGTGCGGCACGCACCCCCTGCACCTGCCTAGGGACGCCCCTGTATATATATATATATATATATATATATATATATACAGTATATATATATGAATATACACTGCTCAAAAAAATTAAAGGAACACTTGGAAAACACCAGATCTCAATGGGGAAAAATATCATGCTGGACATAATACTGATATGGACTAAGTAATGTGTTAGGAATGTAAGGATGCCCCATTGTTTGATGGAAGTGAAAATGATCAACCTACAGAGTACTGAATTGAAAGACAACCCAAAAATCAAAATGAAAAAATGATGCAGCAGGCTAGTCCATTTTGCTGAAATTTAATTGCAGCAACTCAAAATGGTACTTAGTAGTTTGTATGAACCCCACATGCATGTATGCATGCCTGACAACATCCGGGCATGCTCCTAATGAGAGGACAGATGGTGTCCTGGGGTATTTCCTCCGAGGGTATTTCTTCCCAGATCTGGACCAGGGCATCACTGAGCTCCTAGACAGTCTGAGGTGCAACCTGGCGGTGGCGGATTGGACCGAAACATGATATCCAAGAGGTGTTCTTGTTCAAACATTTTTATTAACAAAGAGAAAAAAAAAAACGTAACGACACAAACAAGGAGACTTTGTTGATATACATTGGACATTGAAGAGGCAGTAGGACATTGAAAAAATGAATGAGGATCACATTACGAATGTCTATACATTTCTGGCGAAAACAGGTACAGAAGAGTTGACAATAGATGGCATTTTTGTCCCAGCCAATCAGAGTACCTTCTCCCAAGTGCATTAAAGAAATAGGGGGAAGTTTGGAGGGGGGTCAGACGGAGGTGGTAGGGAGGGTAGGGGAAGAGGAACAACAACGATGACTCCATGAGCATTCAACAAGTTTACAGCAGACCCTACGTGTTGCCTACAAAGGACTATTGACAGTATCCTTGGCGCACAGTATATAAATCAAGGGAGAAGGAGTGATTCATCAAAGTAGGCGGGAGGAAGCGCTCTACCCAGGGGCTCCATATGTGCAAAAATTTAGGAATCGTGTCTAGAATTGTGGCTTCCAGCTTTGCATGTATCATAGCTTGCGTTATTCTGGTTTTGACGGCAGCAACACTTAGGGTGGGGGATTTCCAGGATTTCGCTATAACCTGCTTAGCTGCCGTTGTAACTTGCATAAGGAGCTTGAATTGCGAGTTGGAAATGCCAGGGGGCACTGATTGAGTAGGGCTGTTGTTGGGTCGGGTCGTAGAGTGATAGTGCTAAGTGTAAATATCATGGTGAAAATTTCATCCCAAAAGACTCGGGCCACTGGGCATTCCCACCACATATGGTAGTGTGTTCCTGAGTCTGTACAGCCTCTAAAACAGTTGGGCGAGTAATTAGGGGGAAATTTTGTGATTCTCGCTGGGACCAAGTACCAGCGGGTTAAAACTTTATAATTCGTTTCCAATGCTACAATGTTCTCCGAGGATGATTTTGTGTTATCCCAAATGTGATCCCAATCAGATGGGTCGAGTTTCTTACCTAAATCCACTTCCCACTTATGGGTATACAGAGGGGGGGACGTGGTAATCGAAGTAGTGAAGAGTGAATATAAGCAAGAGATAAGCCACATCTATGAGGGTCTTTGTAACACACTCGTTCGAAGAGAGACATAGCATCTGGCCGATTGGTTGTTGTAGCGTAGGTGGCGTAAAAGTGTTGTAGCTGTAAGTATCTGAATATCTCGGAAGCTGGGAGGCTATGTGTTTCCCGTAGCGAGGCAAAGGATTTAAACGTATTCCTCTGTAGGAAATGATGCGTGTGGAGCAAATTAGCAGAGGACCAGGCTTTGAATAAAAGGGGTGTCTGCCAGGCCGGGGGAAAGCTGGGTTTCGTAGAAATGAGACCAGAGGATTATGTAGTGATTGGAGGAGATATCGGGTTTTTAGTTTATCCCATAAGGATAAAAAGTGAGAAGTGATGGGGTTGGTTATAGAACGGCGGTCTATAGGCCTCAACCAGAGTAAGTTAGCTGTAGATAAGGGGTCACATTCTATCGATTCAAGTGCAACCCATTGAGGGATTTCAAAGGTTGCATGGTATTTAGGTAATTGGGCTAAATGTGCTGCTTGATAGTATTTGCTGATGTCGGGTAAGCCTAGACCACCACTGGGCTTAGGACGGTATAGGGTGGAGCAAGGTATACGAGGACGAGTATTGCCCCATACATAGGAAAAAATGCGACGCTGCAGTGTGCGGAGGTAGTGAGGGGGGACTGGGACTGGGAGGACTCTAAATAGATATAGAATTTTTGGGAGGATTGACATCTTGATAACTGCTATTCTGCCTAGCCATGCGAGGGGTAAGGAAGACCATTTGGTCAGAAGGGCAGAAAGATGGTTTTAGCATCGGAAGATAGTTAGCTGCGTAAAGGTCTGATAACTTAGGGGTCAGTTTAATACCCAAGAAAGGAATATGACATTGTGACCAAGGGAATGGTAGAATCTGCTTTAGGTGCGTCAACTCTAAAGGGGGGAGAGAGATATTGAGTGCTGTTCATTTATTGGGGTTTATTATTAGACCAGAGAGCGAGCCAAACGCCTCGAGAAGCCGAAGTAGGGAAGGAGAGGAAGTCGATGGAGATGTGAGAAAGAGCAAGACGTCACCCGCAAAGAGAGACATAACTTATGATGTGTGCCTCCTATTTTCAAGTCCCCTGACATCCGGGTTAGCTCTGATTAAGAGGGCCAGAGGCTCTATAGCCAGGGCAAAGAGCAAAGGGGACAGAGGGCAGCCTTGTCTCGTGCCTCTGGAGATCGGGAACTGAGCCGGCCTGTGCCCCAGATACCTAATTCTGGCTGAGGGCTCTCGATACAGCGAGAAAATCCAGGTTAAAAAATGTGGGCCAAAACCCCAACGATGCAATATATATAGCTGAGTATGGCCATGAGACTGTATCGAATGCTCTCCGGATATCTAGGGACAGGAAACAGGCGGGAATATTGCGAGACCTGGCTAAATTAGCCAAAAGAGATGCATGCCTGATGTTATCTCCCGCTTACCTAGTTGGGATAAAGCCCACTTGGTCGTTATGAATTAGAGAGCCAATACACAGGTTAAGACGTGAAGAGAGGATTTTGGCTAACAGTTTAATGTCAATGTTGAGGAGAGAGATTGGCCTATAATTGGACCACTGCGTATCGTC